CCACCCATCTGGAGCTGCCACCCATCTGGAGCTGGAATTTCCTGGAATTGGAATTCCAGGAAATCCAGTACCACCTTCTGCCCTCTAAGCACCAGGCACACACATGGTGCACAAATGTAAAGCAGAAATAAGTAAGTGGCAGTACAGACTGAGATTCAAGCTCGTCCATTTTGTAGGTTGTCTGTGGCTTTGCTGCTACAGCCCAAAACTGTCGCTTAGTTATGGTCATGGAGATGTGCTCCTCTCTAAAAAATATTTTACTCTATGTGTATTGGTGTTTTGCCTACATGTTTGTCTGCATCACTTGTGTGCCTGGCACCCACAGAGGTCAGAAGAGGGCATTGGATTTCCTGGAACTAGAGTTAGAGATGGTTGTGAGCCACTATGCGGTACTGGGAATTGAACCCAGGTTCTTTAAGTGTGTTTAACCGCTGAGCTATCTCTCCAGCCCTATGATTTATAGTTTTAAATTCTTTTATTTGAGACAGGGTTTCACTATGGAGCTCTGACTGGTCTGAAATTGGGTCTTCTGGAAGAGCAGACAGTGCTCTTAATCACCGAGCCATCTCTCCAGCCCCGAGTTCTAATTCTTATACTGAGGTCTGTGACCTACTGAAGCTTCACATGCCACCACTCCCAGCCTGTGACTGTCACCTCCTCTCATTTCTGTTGTCCCACTGCCCTTGTTCGGGCCTCTACCACCTCTCCCTTGCTGTAACAGCCTAACTTCTCTAGCAAACACTGTCAGTGCAGTCAGAGGGCAGCATGGTGAGGTTGGGAACGCCAGGCTAGTCTGATGGTTGTAGTGGGTGTGTGATAGTCATCCAACCGATGGCGCTGTCCACTGGGCGTGTGGTGCTAAACTCGGTAGACGTCATTTCCTGCGTTGCAGAACCTGCTGGTTAAGGGGAGAGAGATAGACATTAAACAAACAGTTGTCTACGTCTACAGTAGTCAGTAACAGATTGGATCACACCCGTTCCAGGATTTTCATTCACTCGTCATTGCTAAGGAATCAAACCCTAACTGAGTGGAATCAGCTCCCAGCCCCATTCTTGGCTTCTTTTCTGCCCATTGCTCTCCGTCTCCTCCAGGGTCCCAGTCTAAAGACTGTCTCCTGTGGCTCAGATGGCTATCACAACCTTGCCCTGCCCATGTCCTCTGTCCAGCCTGCATATCCCCACTGGTTTGAGGCCACTGTAGCAAACATGACTTCCTCTGGCAGACCTTTCTTGGTCACTATCACTTTCCAAGCCATATTTTAAAATAATAATAATAATAATAATAATAATAATAATAATAAACCTTTATAGAATTTTCAGGAATAGACTCCAAAGGGACAAATCGGGGTAAAAGTTCATAGTAAAAGGCTTGCCTGACATGCACATGGCACTGGGTTCTGTTGGCAGCATTGCAAAGAAGCTAAAGCTAGTGTGAACTACACAGAGCAGTGTGCATCCTTTCCTCCCCCACCACCTCCACCCCATGAAGAGGACACTGGATACAAGTTCTGGAGGGTAGAGAGACATGTTCTTCCTCTTTTGAGCAGAAGGAAGGGAGTGCTTGGGCTCTGGGAGTCTGAAGCACTGGTGTCTCCATAGAGATAAATATCTTGAGAATGATCCTGCCACGGGAGCTAATTGACACCCCACCCCAGAGCGGAGCAGTTACACATCCCAGTGTTGGAAGGACAGTCAGGAAGCTCTGCAGAACCCACTCAAATCTTTGTTTAAAAATGCCCTTTCTGTGCTTCTGAGGGGCTGGCCTTGTCTTGTGGCAAGGCCATGAAATCCAGTGGCTTGACCTCGGAGATTCATCTGGTGGGAAAAGGTGGTAGATGGTTTAACCCAGGAGCCTGCAGTGGCCTGAGCTTGGAGGTGGACAAGATTGGACTGGTCCCCACCCTACCCACGTAGTTCAGGTCCTGAAGTGCTGCCCTGGCAGAAGATAGAGGGGTACAGGAATAAGAGTGGCTGTGGCTGACTGGAGGCACCTGAGTCAGTAGAGCCTGAGAGGAAGGCAGGTGTCAGCAAGGGACAGAGGGGCTGGCAGCTTCTGTTTCAGCTGGCCTAGAGCCCTGCGGGTGCAGGCAGTTAATCTCTGAAGGCCAGAGTCGCCGCTTCTGGAGAGCAGGAACATTGAACTTTTCAATCACATTAATTTCCACAGGAAATTGTTGTCTTCCTTTTGTCCAAAGGTTAGTGATTTATATTTACCATCTTCTTAACTAGCCTTGAAATTTACTGTTGCTAGGTCACCACCAGCATCAATAAATTTCAGGTGTCGGCTGGGCATAGCCAAGCGGCTTGGTCCTTGGAAAGGTACGTAACCAGCCCCTTTGGAAGGTTGGCTGTCTAGCTACAGTCCTTGTGCAAATGCCCCACAGAGGGAGTGTCACCTTCCTTGCTGGGGAAGTGAGGTAGGTGGGAGACAGTTTTAGGGAGGTCTCCCACACATGCACGGCACAGGCAGCTGACGTGTGCTCTAAGTGCATCACTGAAGGAGGCATGCTTCCAGCTATGGACAGGGCTGACCCTGGAGGCGCTCCGGGTGCGGGGCAGCGGTCACAGCACACCTGCATATGGTGTTACAAGGTTAAACTTCCATAAATATAGGCTGTAGTGTTTTCTTGGCAGCTCAGAGGAGGAATGGCCAGAGCCATGCTTCCTGTCTCTGCTCTCTGCTTCTGTCGTTTTACCTAGTTCTTTTGTTAGTTTGTCTGTCTGTCTGTCTGTCTGTCTGTCTCTCTCTCTCTCTCTCTCTCTCTCTCTATATATATATATATATATATATATATATATATATATATATATATACTAATTTAAGGGGGGCGGGTGTCTCATGTACGTCAGTCTGGCTTTGAACCTTGACTTTACTCTCTAGCTGAGGACAACCTTGAACTTCTGATCCTCCTGCCGCCACCTCTAGAGAACTAGGACTATCTAGGTGTGCAGCACTGCACTTAGTTTATGCTATGTGGTCCTGTGGATCTAACCCAGGACCCTGAGCATGCTAGGCAAGCGGTCTGTCAACTGAGCTATGCCCTTCCTGTGTCCCCGTAAGATCGCTCCCCTCCATCTGCTCATAGATGAGAACAGAGACTACTCCTCTGTAGAGACAGTAATAGTTTAGGCTTTGTGAGCCAGCCATCTCTTTTGTAGCCAGTCATCTGTGCGCTTTCATCTGAAGGTAGCCATAGACAATAGATAACTGGGTAAGAATGGCTATGTGCTCATGTAATTATTATTTTGAGACAGGGTCTTATGTGGCAAAGGCTAGTCTTACTATGTAGGCAAAGATGACCTTGAACTTCAGATCACTGCTGATTCACTTCCCAAGTGCTGACATCAGACATGGACTGTCCTGCTGGGTTTACCGAGCTGGGGATTGAAGCCACACAGTTTTACACATGCTAGGCCAACACTCTGCTAACTGCACTCTACTCCCTGTTCCCTAACAAGACTCTGTGTGTACGTGTGTGTGTGTGTGTGCACTCACGTACACACGTATGTTCCTCCACATGCACACTCGTGTAGAGACTGAACCCACAGCTTTATTCATGCTAGGCAAGGTGTTTGCCACTGATCTACAGTTCCAGACATTAGAGATTTTTTGTAAATTTACAGGTATTTATTTTTTTAGATAGGGTTCTAGGCCATCTAGGACTATAGTGAGACCTTGTCTCAAAAAAAAAAAAAAAAAAAGGAAGGAAGAAGTAAAAGCCTGGGCTTGAGGTAGCTCAGTGACAGAGCTCCGTGGGGCCCTCAGTTTGATCCCTAGCAATATAAAAACAAAACAAGATGAAAGCTATTTTGGAACTGGAAAGGAGCTCGTGGGCAATGCTGTGGAAGTGTGAGGACCTGTGTTCATATCCCCAGTACTCCATCAACACTGGGCAGGGTGAACACAGCTGTAATCCCAGGGTCAGGGAGACGCAAAGACGGCTGGATTGCCAGCCACGAGCTCCAAGTCTGCGGAAAGACTCTCTCCACAAACTAGGTCGAGTGATTGAGAAAGATACTCAGGTTGACCTCTAGCTTCCACAGTGCACAAGCACATCACATG